ACAGGTTAAGAGAAATGGATACATGTGCTGTAAAACTGCATAAGTCAGAAACAACCTAGCCGTATACTTATAACAACATGTATAAACCTTAAAAATAGCACTTGGTGAAAAGGATAAAAAACAGGATGAGACACACACACCATATAACCCAAATGATTTATCTCAGTTAAAAATACAGCACAACTAAATAATACATAATAAATTCTGCAAAAACATGAAACCCAAAAGTACACATTCCACTTATTAGAATGCTTGCCTCTGGGAGTCCTGTAACAGAAGGGAAGAATGCTAAGGAGAGAAAAGAGTAAGGTAGAATAAGGTAAGGTGAGCAAAATACAGTGAAGTGTAAAGTGAAGGATGGGAGGGGAGGCATGGGAGAGGGGGAGAAAGGAGGGGAATGGAGATAAGGGAAGAGGGGGCAGGAATTGGAAAGGAAGAGAAAAGAGGAAAGGAGAGGAGGAGGAATAAGGAGAGGGAAAGAAAGTGGAAGAGAAAATCGGGAGAGAAGGGAGATGAAAAGAAGAGAGAAGGGAAGAAAGAAGGTAGGGAAGAGGAGAAGAGAGGAAAGGAGAAGGCAGAAAAGGAAGAAGCAGAAGGAGAATCCTTTTCTGCAACAATGAATTATATAGTATGATTAATCTAAGGTTCTTCACCTAGGGTCTAAAACATGAAAAAAAAAAGTAATTTCAGACATTTAGTGAAGTAATGATGGTAACTGTGTACACATTAGGATAACAGATTGCCACAAAATCTTTTTATTTTTTTAATGTATGCTTTAAAAGTCTAGCTCCTTTCATGTCTGGATATAAAAAATAAAAATTTTCCCCACAGTCTATTAAAACTGACAAATACCTTCTCTTTTAGAAGCATATAACTTCAAGTTTATTGAAAGCTTTCACAAAGTAATCCTTTTCTTAAAATGAATACGCTTTCAGTGGAAAAGCAAGAATAAACTTTGCTTTTTTCACCCATACAGTTACAATATGTCTTTATTTCCTTTCATTTTGTTGGGGGCATCCTTACTTTTCATTACTCATTATATCACTATAATTTCTGAAATCCAAAGAAGAAAAATTAAATATAAGGAAAGCTTCATTGTCTTTTATTAAAACCATCCTCTGTACTATACATTAAATTATACACCTATGTGAAATAGATTGCGATTTTATGTGTAGGTTTTATCTATAAACGAAGGTGTTACTTTAATGTAGTTATCATGGAAGGTTTCCATTTATTTATACAACCATGCCACTGTCCAAATAATTTTTCATATTCTTTCAGAATTGTTCAAAAAATGATTTTATGTCCTGAATATACATACATCTTCTGTATTACTTAACTTTGTCATATCTCGAATTTTTAAATTTAAAAATATATATTACATTTCCTCCTATTCCATAAAATGAATGTTAACCGATTACAACCAAATTAAATTCACTCATAAATGATGCAGATTTAATATTAATGTTCCTGAGACTAAATATGAAGATTATCCCACAGGCTCTCCAAACAAACAAGAAAACAGAAAAAAGTATATCTGATCTCTGAGAAAGAACTAAATGCTCTCTTTCTACTCTTTCCTACCCAAATTACTGAACTGTTGCACATTAGTAAACAACAACAAACAAGTAAGAAAACCCTAATATTCTCAAAATCACATATCATAGCTATGGTTTGTGAAAATTTCTGGTTTCACTATGTAAATATACAAATCTTTGTGGGTTAAATCACATCAAAATAAAAGCTTCAATTTACTGACAGAGACATGAGTTTTGAGAAAATGCTTTAAAATATCTCTTTTAAAAGAATAACCTCCAAAGCTTTTATAATTTTCATGGGCTAAAAATACAAAAATGATGAAATACTTTCTTGTCTTTTTCCAATTCACTCATCATATATACTATGTATATTGGTATATATGGTATAGAAAACCGCGGAAGTAAGTGTTCTAAACCAAGGAATTGTTGATAGTGTTTTTTACCATTCAGATTTACATATATCAATTCTAGGTTATAGGCTGTCTGGATCAGAGGACCTGGATTTGCTATCTGTCTTACTGCTTAAATTTTTTTTTTTTTTACCTAAGAAAGGCACTAGGAGATCCCAAAAGATCTTTTTTCTCTGCTACTATCCCTAGGCAAGAAGGAAGAATTAGCCTTGTAACCAGATCCTTCTAGTCTCTGCCTTTAATTTTAAACAAGAAACCAGACGACTAAAGATGTAAGATTGACAGAGAACAGCAGAGGGCAGTATTTACTCATGGCTAAATCATCTCCCAGCTCAGAAATTTTAAATTTGGAGGGGGTCACTGTGGATGAAATGTATGACTTACGCCCTATATTTGCATTACTTGGCTTAAATTCTTATTTTCTAAGCGGTTTTCCTTAAAGGGGAAATAATACTGACCTGATTCCTAGTCACATTTTCCCCCTTCTTTGAAGTGCTGCGTGATACCATAAAAAAACCAGCTACAGTAAATAGCAGGGGAGTTAATCTGAGTGCCTCGAGTGGCACGTGGGTAATTCTAAAATTTAAATCTCATTCTATTCATTTCAATTTTCCTCATATCTACCTTTCCCCCCAGACAAAAACTAAACCAAGACAAAAAGAAACCATTCGTCAGGATTCCTTTGGCTAGAAAATGGCTAGAGGGCAATACTCCCAACAAAGATCAAAATTCCAAACTTTGGGAAAGGAAACAAAACAGGAGTTCCCCCGGCTTTTCCTATAGGAAATCCGAAGTGCAGTTGGTGCCCAGGCCTCGATGCCCCTAATCACCTGGAGGCAGGGGCGGGGCGAGTGGAGACAGGTTTAGGGTTAGACCCGGACTGCAGTTGGCTCGCTCTGTAGACAAGGATTAGGGAAGGTTCGGTTTGGATGCCGTTGGATTTTATTGCACGGCAGCTCCCTTCCTTCCCTTCGAGAGAGAAAGGGCAGGAAACGGTTAAAGCAAATCTGCGCTTTGCATTCCCAGACAGGCTTTGCTTAATCCTTCCTCCCGCTCTAACAGACCCTCACCCCCTGCCTTTCTTTTATTTCTCTCGACCCCCTTACCCTTGAGTTATTACTAGCATAACAACCTAACGGTCTTCCCCCAGACCCGGTCCCTAAAGTTATTTATCTGCAAACCTGACCCCACCCCCATCCATTCGGCAGCAGCTTTTTGCTGTTATTGCTCAGATGTCGGCCAAGATTTGACCAAAAAGAAAAAAAAGAAAGAAAGAAAGAAAGAAAAAGAGGGGAGGGAATCACCGCCTAGCCCCCACCCACCCTTTCTCAGCGCCTCCTACTCGCCGGGCTCCCACACCCGACCGCCTACCGTCCTCCCGGAGGCTGGAGTGATTAGCATCCCGAGAAGCCAGTCGCAGGCCGAAACAGTCGGAGCGCGCGGGCGGTAGGAGTGCCAGGCGGGGCCGCTTCAGCTCGGGTCCAATGGGGCTGGGGCGAGGGAGGGGCGGTAGGTGACAGCACCCGGAGCCCGGGGGAGTCCGGCTGAACTAAAGTGCGGGGATCAATGAGTGGCGAGCAAAGTTTCTGAGTCCTGCTCAGCTCGCGGTCTTCCCTCCCCCTCTGTTTGTGTTTCGGCGGCGCGCTGTGTGAGTGTGTGTGTGAGAGAGAGTGTGTGTGTGAGTGTGTGTGTGTGCGCGCGCGCGCGTGCGGCGGGGAAGGGGCGGGGAGAGTGAGGGAGACCAGCCGGAGGGTGAGAGGGGCTCGCGGAGCTCCAGCTCCTCAGCGGTGCTGCAGCCTTCAGCCCGGGCAGGCGAGAGGGAGAGCGCTGACAGCCGCCGTCCGGAGCTGCTGGGGGCGCCGCCGCGGTCCAGCGCCGACTTCCCCGCCTCCACCGTCAACAGTGCGGGAGAAAAGGGGCACCGATCACCACCACCCTACCCCGCCCCAAACAAAAAGCCTTGTGGATTACAAAGTGAAACTGACACGGGACAGTAAAACCAAAGGGCAAGAGGTCGGGGGCGAGGCGCACTAGAGGGGGCTTCTGACTGGGACCGCCGGAGAAGGAGTCCCCCTGGCGTGGTGAGGGGAGGGGACGCGGGGACAGCGCGCTGCTCCTGCCCGACGCCGGCGAGGCCGAGAAGAAAGGGGGGCCTGCGCTTGATTTGGATGTACAAATAATGGGTCGGCAGGCGTCCCGGCAGAGGTAAAAAAAAAAAAAAAAAAAAAAAAATGCTGAGGAGCGCTGGATTTTGCCTGTGCCCGCCTAAGGGCTGGAAGCGGCAGCAGGGGCGGCGGCAGCTCCTCCCGGAGGAGAAGGGACGGCGCTGAGCGCTCCAGAGCGCCCAGCGAGCGTTTGGAATGCAGTTTGCTGGCTGCCCGAGCTTAGACGCCGCCGCCTGGGCCTCCGCGCCACTTCTGCAGCCCTGCTGAAGGGCTTTGCAGCCTTGTTCTTAAGGAGAGGGGAACTCGAGGAAACTCCTTGTCTCCAGCTTTGGGGAAAGGAATTCGATAATCCCCGGTTCCCCATCGCCCCCTCCCCAGTGCGCAGTTGTTCGCTCCACACCGCTGCGGAAGTTTGTTCTTCCTTCCTCACTTCGCCTTGGGTAAGTTTTAAAGTTTCTGAAGATAAGTGTTTGCGGTAATTCCTCCTATACCTTAAATACAGGCAACTTCTCCCAACTCCTATCCACCCCCGGCGAAAACGCTCAGACTCTCCGGATTCGAAACTAAAGTGGAGGGGGAAATATAGGAGATTGGAGAAACTTCTCTGGGAACTCGTCCACAAGCAGGAGTAAGTGCCCGAGGAATGCCCTGCCGCTTTTCCTCAAGGCATCTCTTCCCTCACTAAGCGTCCAAATGGCTACCTGGAGGCTTTTACTCGGGCGAATTGCTTCTTCTGGACTGGAAGTTGTTTGAAATACCTAGCTCTCCGAGCCATCGGCTGCATGTCTGCTGGTGCGACTTGATCCCTGTCGTTATCAGTCTTTTTTTTTTTTTTTTTGCCTCACCTCTTCCTTCTCCTCATCACTCCGTTCCAGGGAGCCAAGACCATGGACTTGGCAGCAGACAGGGCTCCTGGCCGCCCGTGGCTCCCGCTGCCCACTTTAACGCTATTTCAGCTCCTTCGGGTCTTTTGGCTGCTGGCGCTGCTCCCGGGGCCCGTCCGGGTCAGCGGGGCGGAGCAGCGCCAGCTGTTCCAGGTGCTGGAGGAGCAACCTCCCGGCACGCTGGTGGGTACCATCCAGACGCGCCCGGGCTTCACCTACAGGCTCAGCGAAAGCCACGCCCTGTTTGCTATAAACGGTAGCACCGGGGCCCTGTACACCACTGCGACCATCGACCGCGAGAGCCTGCCCAGCGACGTGATCAACCTGGTGGTTCTTTCCAGCTCACCCACCTACCCCACCGAAGTGCGGGTGTTGGTGCGGGACCTCAATGACAACGCCCCGGTCTTCCCAGAACCCTCGATTGTGGTCACTTTCAAGGAAGACAGCAGCAGCGGGCGGCAAGTCATCTTGGATACCGCCACCGACTCGGACATCGGCTCCAATGGCGTTGACCACCGGTCCTATCGCATCATCCAGGGCAACGAGGCGGGTCGCTTCCGCCTGGATATCACCCTGAACCCGAGCGGCGAGGGCGCGTTCCTGCACCTGGTGTCCAAGGGCGGGCTGGACCGCGAGGTCACACCGCAGTACCAGCTGTTGGTGGAAGTGGAGGACAAGGGCGAGCCCAAGCGGCGGGGCTACCTGCAGGTAAACGTGAGTGTGCAGGACATTAATGACAACCCCCCGGTTTTTGGCAGTTCCCACTACCAGGCGGGGGTGCCTGAGGACGCCGCGGTGGGCTCCAGCGTCCTCCAGGTGGCGGCGGCGGACGCGGACGAGGGCACCAACGCGGATATCCGCTATCGGCTTCAGGACGAGGGGACCCCCTTCCAAATGGACCCCGAAACGGGGCTCATCACGGTGCGGGAGCCCTTGGACTTCGAGGCCCGGCGCCAGTACTCGCTTACCGTGCAGGCTATGGACCGAGGCGTGCCTTCCCTCACGGGGCGTGCCGAGGCGCTGATTCAACTGCTGGACGTCAACGACAATGACCCGGTGGTAAAATTCCGCTACTTCCCCGCCACCTCGCGCTACGCCTCGGTAGATGAGAACGCGCAAGTGGGCACGGTGGTGGCTCTGCTCACCGTGACGGACGCAGACTCCCCAGCGGCCAACGGGAACATCTCCGTGCAGATCCTCGGGGGCAACGAGCAGCGCCACTTTGAGGTGCAGAGGAGCAAAGTGCCGAACCTGAGTCTCATCAAAGTTGCCAGCGCCCTAGACCGGGAGCGCATCCCTTCTTACAACCTGACGGTTTCTGTCTCGGATAACTACGGGGCGCCCCCTGGCGCAGCGGTCCAGGCGCGCTCTTCCGTGGCGAGTTTGGTGATTTTCGTTAATGACATCAATGACCACCCTCCCGTGTTTGCCCAGCAAGTGTACAGAGTGAACCTGAGCGAGGAGGCGCCCCCGGGAAGCTATGTGAGTGGCGTGTCCGCCACTGACGGCGACTCTGGTCTCAATGCTAACCTGCGTTACAGCATCGTCTCTGGTAATGGCCTGGGTTGGTTCCACATCAGTGAACACAGCGGTTTGGTGACCACTGGGCTTGCCGGGGGCTTGGACCGTGAACTTGCTTCCCAGATCGTACTGAATATCAGTGCTCGGGACCAGGGGGTTCACCCCAAGGTCTCCTATGCCCAGCTTGCTGTGACTCTGCTGGATGTGAATGATGAGAAGCCAGTGTTTAGCCAGCCAGAAGGATATAATGTGTCTGTGGTTGAGAATGCCCCTACTGGGACTGAACTACTGGTGCTTGGGGCCACCGATGGGGACCTGGGTGACAATGGGACAGTGCGATTCTCCCTGCAGGAAGCTGAGACCGACCAGAGGTCCTTTCGCCTGGATCCTGTGTCTGGGAGGTTGAGTACTATCTCCTCTTTGGACAGGGAGGAACAAGCTTTCTACTCCCTGTTGGTGCTGGCCACAGATCTGGGGTCCCCTCCCCAGTCATCAATGGTTCGCATAAATGTGAGCCTCCTGGATATTAACGACAACAGCCCTGTGTTCTACCCAGTCCAATACTTTGCTCATATTCAGGAGAATGAGCCTGGAGGTAGCTACATCACCACCGTGTCTGCCACTGACCCAGACTTGGGTCTCAATGGAACCATCAAATATAGTATATCAGCTGGGGACAGGTCTCGGTTTCAGGTCAATGCTCAGAGTGGGGTTATTTCTACAAGAATGGCCCTAGACAGAGAAGAAAAAACTGCTTACCAGTTGCAAATAGTGGCTACTGATGGTGGCAATTTGCAGTCTCCCAACCAGGCGATAGTAACCATCACTGTGTTGGACACTCAAGACAACCCGCCTGTATTCAGCCAGGCTGCCTACAGCTTCGTGGTCTTTGAGAATGTGGCCCTGGGATATCATGTGGGTAGTGTGTCCGCATCCACCATGGATCTCAATTCCAACATCAGTTATCTCATTACTACCGGGGATCAGAAAGGTATGTTTGCTATCAACCAGGTTACTGGGCAGCTTACCACAGCAAGTGTGATTGACAGAGAAGAGCAATCCTTTTATCAGCTAAAAGTAGTAGCCAGTGGGGGCACAGTGACTGGAGACTCTATGGTTAATATAACAGTTAAGGATTTGAATGACAACTCTCCCCATTTCCTTCAGGCAGTAGAGAGTGTGAATGTGGTTGAAAATTGGCAGGCAGGTCACAGCATTTTCCAAGCCAAAGCTGTGGACCCCGATGAAGGTGTCAATGGGATGGTACTCTATAGCCTGAAGCAAAACCCCAAGAATCTCTTTACTATCAATGAAAGGAATGGTAATATTAGTCTGCTAGGACCCCTGGATGTTCATGCTGGTTCCTACCAGATAGAGATCTTAGCATCTGATATGGGTGTTCCCCAGCTCTCCTCTAGTTTCATCTTAACAGTGTATGTCCATGATGTAAATGACAACCCACCAGTGTTTGACCAGCTTTCTTATGAGGTCACCCTTTCTGAGTCAGAACCTGTGAATTCTCGATTCTTTAAAGTGCAAGCTTTTGATAAGGATTCAGGAGCAAATGGTGAAATTGCGTACAGCATTGCTGAAGGCAATACCGGGGATGCTTTCGGCATATTCCCAGATGGTCAATTGTATATAAAAAGTGAACTGGACCGTGAACTTCAAGACAGATATGTTTTACTGGTTGTTGCTTCTGACAGAGCTGTGGAACCCCTTAGTGCTACTGTGAATGTTACTGTAATTTTAGAAGATGTAAATGATAACAGACCTCTTTTTAACAGTACCAATTACACATTTTATTTTGAAGAAGAACAGAGACCTGGGTCGTTTGTGGGCAAAGTAAGTGCCGTAGATAAAGACTTTGGGCCAAATGGAGAAGTAAGGTATTCTTTTGAAACGGTGCAGCCAGATTTTGAGTTGCATGCCATTAGTGGGGAAATTACAAATACCCATCAGTTTGACAGGGAGTCTCTTATGAGGCGGAGGGGGACTGCGGTGTTTAGCTTTACAATCATCGCAATAGATCAGGGGCTCCCTCAGCCTCTTAAAGATCAGGCCACGGTACATGTTTACATGAAGGATATAAATGATAATGCTCCCAAATTTTTAAAAGACTTTTACCAAGCAACAATATCAGAGTCAGCAGCCAACCTGACACAGGTTTTAAGAGTATCTGCCTCAGATGTTGATGAAGGTAATAATGGACTTATTCACTATTATATAATAAAAGGAAATGAAGAAAGACAGTTTGCTATAGACAGCACCTCTGGTCAGGTGACACTGATTGGCAGATTAGACTATGAAGCCACACCTGCCTATTCCCTTGTAATTCAAGCAGTGGATTCAGGAGCAGTCTCCCTCAATTCAACCTGTACCTTAAATATTGATATTTTAGATGAAAATGACAATACCCCTTCTTTCCCTAAGTCAACATTATTCGTTGATGTTTTGGAAAACATGAGAATCGGTGAACTCGTGTCCTCTGTTACTGCAACTGATTCAGATTCAGGTGACAATGCTGACTTACATTACAGCATCACTGGGACTAACAACCATGGAACTTTCAGCATTAGCCCAAACACTGGGAGTATTTTTCTTGCCAAAAAATTGGACTTTGAAACACAGTCTTTGTACAAATTAAATATAACAGCAAAAGACCAAGGAAGGCCTCCTCGTTCATCTACAATGTCGGTGGTTATACATGTGAGAGACTTCAATGACAATCCTCCTACCTTTCCTCCTGGGGATATTTTCAAGTCTATTGTTGAGAACATCCCCATTGGAACATCTGTCATTTCTGTGACTGCACATGACCCCGATGCAGACATTAATGGGCAACTCTCCTATACAATCATCCAGCAGATGCCACGGGGCAACCACTTTGGCATAGATGAAGTCAAAGGCACTATCTATACTAATGCTGAGATAGATCGGGAATTTGCTAACCTCTTTGAGTTAACTGTTAAAGCCAGTGATCAAGCTGTGCCTATAGAAACTAGACGGTATGCTTTGAAAAACGTGACTATTTTGGTCACAGACCTCAATGACAATGTCCCAATGTTTATATCACAAAATGCCCTGGCTGCAGACCCTTCGGCTGTGATTGGTTCTGTTCTGACCACAATCATGGCTGCTGACCCAGATGAAGGGGCGAATGGAGAGGTGGAGTATGAGATCATCAATGGTGACACAGACACCTTCATTGTGGATCGCTATAGTGGAGACCTGAGAGTGGCTTCAGCGCTGGTGCCTTCTCAGCTGATCTATAATCTCATAGTTTCAGCCACAGACCTTGGCCCTGAAAGGAGGAAATCAACCACTGAATTGACCGTCATTCTTCAGGGCCTTGATGGACCTGTTTTTACGCAACCCAAATATATAACCATTTTGAAGGAGGGAGAACCCATTGGCACCAATGTGATATCAATAGAAGCAGCTAGCCCTAGAGGATCTGAAGCCCCAGTGGAGTATTATATTGTCTCAGTCCGTTGTGAGGAAAAAACTGTTGGACGGCTCTTTACTATTGGACGACGGAGTGGCATCATTCAGACTGCAGCCATACTGGACCGGGAGCAAGGAGCATGTCTTTACCTGGTGGATGTTTATGCCATAGAAAAGTCAACTGCTTTCCCCAGAACACAGAGAGCAGAGGTAATGATTTTGTCATTCCTTATGAATTATTTGTTGATTTTTTTTTTTTTGGAAAGATCATTCTCTTTCTATTTGCTTTCTATAATGCTTTACCTGTATTGTTGAATTGTTCATTTTACTGACAGGACCATATTAAAATGTTCTATCTTACAGACTAACAAGAAATACATACAGTGTACTTTTCAACCTGATCAGAACCAAAGTATGAAGACTTTTTACCTTGTATTTCATCTCATACTATCTTATGTGTAAAGCTGAGGAGAATTCTTTAGCCATCTTAGAAGTTCAGGAAAAAATCCATTTATTCAAGTTAAATTACTTTATTAAACTAAACACCTCACAGTTAAGAAAGTCTACCAGAGGATGAGGAATTTCAGACTTGAGAAATCTCTATTCCACAATGAAGAACTTTGGTAGAAATCAGCATTATAGCATGGCTTTCTAGGGGGGAGTGGCAATGGACTGACAGTTTACATCAGGACAGTATTAACTTTCACATCCTCAGCAGTCTTGGCAGTTTCTTTATAGACAGTGACTAATTTTAATGTGCTGAGCCAAGTTTGGGGAGATTCCTGATTTCATCTGCCTTCACATTGAAGGCACTCTCTTCTGACTTAACATAATCCTTTCGCTTCTCTCTTGAACTAAAGCATGTAATGTGCTGTGAATGATCAGAGATTAGAAGCTGTTTCTTGAGACAGCACCGTATTGTTCAATGCCATGGTTTAGGTACAAGCTGTTCTGTCTGCTGATAGGTTAGACACTAATGTTTCATAGCAGAAGCCAGAGAATTTCAAGCTTGGCCTTTCCTGGGGTATATTTTTGACTATTACTACCTCAGTGTATCATTGATTTGCTTTTTTAATTGAACTGCTTCCAACGTTGTTTTGATCATCAACCAGAAATGATACAGCTATACCCTGGATGGCTCATTTGCTGGTTCCTAAGTTCTCTCTCCCCTTCAATATATGCTTTCAAAGATATCTTTGAATATCTCTTCAAAGATATTCTGATGTCACTCAGCCAAAAACACAAAATATCAAATGTGGTTTGTGATACTTGGCAGGAACCCAGACACAACATGCTAGCGAATTTGAGGCTCATGTGTTTGTTTTCTTGCTGTCTTTTCTTTTTTATAGCTCTGAGGGGTTTTCTTCATTTAAAATGTTCATTTGTTATTATTATCTTTTCGAATCCCATGGGATTTTTTTTTTCAAAATGGCTAGTTATGGCTCTTATATTGATGAAGCAGTGTATTCATGACCTAGAGGATATTAGATATATAATTAGAGATGTAATTCTTAATAGAGACATAATTCTTAGAGATATCATTCTAAGTGAAATTCAATTTTATCTTGTACACACAGCCCTGAAGAAACTTCTACCCATATGTCCTCTTTTACCTAATTAGGTTTTTAACAATCTGAGATAGGTCGTTACATACTGAGTTATTTGGTTTAACTCAGGCTATGATTTACATGTAATTTTATTTTGATTTGGGGTTATTCCTCTGCTAAACCCACTTCCTGGCTCTATTTTCCTTCTCTGGAATTATTTCTTAGATGAAGAGATTTAATTAGTTTAAAAATGGAAATACTTATTAAAGACAGGCAATTAAGTCATTCTAGGCTTTAGGAAAAAATTTTAAATTATAAAACAGATTATGTTATTGGTTGTTGTTTGGTTAAAGTGATTGCCTTTGCTTGGCAATGAGAATAAATGTCCATTGTTATCATTAGAAGATTTATTTAGTCTTACCGTTTACCCATTAGATATGCAAAGATTGCCTTTGCTTAAACTTATTAATTAGTGCTGTCTCTTCATTAGACATGAAGAGTAAAAGTAATAATTATAAATCATTTTGTTACTAATAGGAGATAATATGTCTGTTATTTTTTTAACCTCAAATAACACCAATATGAAAACTTATTCATATTTGCTATAACTTGTTTAAAGATCTGGAGAGAATTCACCATAATGATTTTTTTATGAGAAAAAAATTGTTTGTCAGCGTATCTTCTGTGAACCAAAGTGCTGAAATTGTAAACCAAGTTTGAGTTCCCAAGCTCCAACCACTCCTAAAATTAAAAGCAAATGTGTTTCTCCAAAGAATATTGAAAGCAGTAGTTGGGAGCTAGAATTTCATATTATTATCGGTTGTATCTTTCAATTGTATAGAATAAAGTTCTTTTTTCCTTCTACTCAAACAATTAATTTACCATGATTCTGCAAAAAGAAGCTATAAATTACCTAGGGTTGTCAGAGGTGATTTTTTAATTGTTTGTTTCCAAGTGCAAGCTTTGCTCCAATGCATTTTTTAACAATTTATTCCTGTACATTGATAGGGGTCTGGGTTGCTTACTCAGGTTTCTGGCTAGAGTCATGGCTGATCACATTCCATGGGCAAGCAGAGGGTCAGTGGTAAAGAGAAATGATTTAATCTTCATTCTTTTTCAAGCTCTGACACTTGTGTGGGGGGGGACGGGTCCTGGGGATTTGGCTTCAGTACTGCTCCTTCCAGAGATTGTCCAGTTGTACACCTTCACCTCCCCCACCTATCATAGCTAAAACTTTGGTATATAGAAGAGTGTCTTTGAAGGATGACTTTTGTGTTGCAGACACAGGTTTATTATCCTTTCATTTTGCGTCTTTGTATTCTCAGAAGAGTCTTGATTATGTTAGAATAGCTCATATACATTTTCTACCTCTTTTCTATCTTCAATAACAAAAAATAGAGATGTAGCACATCCATAGGCATTTCTTTTTTAACATGTGTTTTATGGCAACATGCAACTTAGGGACTGGGTTGGACTTTTGAAGGTCAGAGTTTTTGTCTCATTGGTTTTTATGATCTCCTTGATAATAATAATATCGCATAGAGTCTGGTATATTACCTGATGTATAGGAAGTGCTCAGTACATGTTTACTGTATGAGATGGTAGAAGAGCTAAGGCTGGTACATGTATTCTTGTGTCTCAGGAATAATCAAAAGAGAGAAGTAGGGGGAATGGAGGGAGCTATAGTAAGTTTGATCTTATCATTAATTGAACTAGGGACATGAAGACATACCAATTATCTCTGTTCTACAAATGAACTGAGAATTGCCAGAAAGCTCAAAGAGGAAAGAAGAATTTAGGTGGGTGGTCTCACATGGAGCTTAGCATTTAAATTGAAGGAAATATTATATATACTTCCAGGTTGCAGTTCTCAAATTGGTTGGCCTCAGGACCCCAAAGAGCTTTTGCTTGGGTGTGTCTTATCTATTGATATTCATGTTATGAGCATTAAAATTGAGAAAAATTTAAAATATTTTTTAATTTCTTTAAAAATTACGGTAACCATATAATATATATTTGTTATTAAAAGAACTTAATTTTGTCCACCCTAAGAAATAACAAAAAAGACACATTACTTTATGCTTTCATAAATCTCTTTAATATCTGGATTAAGAGAAGACAGCTGGATTCTCAAATCTCATTTTGTCTATTGTGATATGTTGTTCTGGTTAAAATATATGAAAATAATCTATCTTCCCTCAGACAAAGCTGGATAAGAGAGAGATATTTTGATATCTTTTTCAGATAACTGTTGATTTTCTTTTGATACTATACCAGAATTTCACAAGTGGCTATTTCTTAAAACTTAACTTGCAATAAGGAATCTGAAACCCTACCATTGAATTTTTCATACTTTGTTGCATGAAAATATTGATCTATCTTGCTTTATGAATGGAAATTTTACCTATGTATGACTTAGAAACATCAGGCACTGATCATTTGGAAAATATCCGTATAACTGATAAGCATCTTATCAAAAGAGCCTTTACATATATGGACTCACAACCTCATGGTAATGATTCAGAGTTTTCCAAATTTGAATTTTCACTTGCAAGCTCAAATTTTATCATTAATAACATATATTGTTAGTTGTTTTCCGAAGTATCAGACACCCTTTGTTCATTTTCAAACAAACAAAACATGTCTGCCATTTTTTTTTAAAAAAGCATGCTTTCTCTATCAGTTGTTTTTTCAAGGAAAAATTGTATTCCATAAATAAAGCAACTATTTCAGCTTGCAACCCAATCCATCACACACATGCTTTTCTTTGAGACTACTGTACATAGGTACAGACTAATGACTCTTTGTTCATGTTTCACTATTTGTCACCCCAAATATTGAGAACACATTGGGATTTAAAGCTCGAGATTTAATAAAATTGATTATTTAATGTTTCTTCAAGGGAAAGTCTTCAGTTTTTAAGTGAAACTGGCATTTTATTTTCACTGTGACTAGTAAGTGAATAATCCAATTACACCTGGAATACTTTGGAGCTACTGCTTGGCTTTGTGCTAAGGTACCAGCAGTTTTACCAGCCATCAGTTTTGCACCTCTAGTTTAAATGTCAACACAGTGAAAAGGCAAACATTGCTTTGTATTATTATGAATACAGTTTTGATTTCCCAGGTGTCTTTAATGAATCTCTGGTATGCCTGGGGCACCATTTTCTGTGGTGGGAGAACCATTGTTCTAAGTACTGACATTTTTGCAATTCAATAAAAATATTAAGACAACTAGAAATATTCTATTAAAAGTGTACTTAGAATATTAAGTGAACAAATTATGGTTTTTTAAAGATTAGAAATGAATTTTAGCAATTGATAATAAACCAATTTATTTTCACAATGAAACCATCAAGATTTCCAAGAGAAATGGTGGAAACATTTGTAATTAATACTGAATATCAAGCTTAGAAATACTTTTCTTCCAGACTGTTTAAAATAAAGGTGAGTGAGCCTTACATTAAATGCCTGTATAGCTTGTGTGTCATTCGTCACAGGCAAAATATAAGCAAAGAGTTGAATATTTAATAATAGTGGTAATAATTATTATAAAATTTCAGTGATTGAGCTGAGTACTAAGTATTTCCTTAGCAATTTTATCATTTGAGCCTCACAACATGTCATATCACTCCCTCTTTGTAGTTGTGGAAGCAGTCTCAGA